TTTCTGTGACTGCGTAGCAGCCAAAGAGAGGATGAGACTGTGCCTTGCTACCCCCAGAAATGAACTGGATTAAAAACTTGAAGTATGATTTCTACTGAATGTATTGCTTTTTCATGATAATAAAGTTGGGAAACTATTGGTCCAACTACCATCATGTTAGGGACCACCTGGTAAGTCTCCCCTCCATTTACTGGAAAAGCTCATAGGGTCTGCATGCCCAGGCCTTTGGTGTGCATATATGGATGCTTCTGGTTGGTCTGGCTCCCTTCCTCAGAAACCCTCTCAACGACACTTTAGGTATTTATGATATTAACTACTTTGTGCCATGTCTTTGTAGCTTTGCTGAGGACAGTGGCTCTCTTGGTTCATTGCTTTCCTCTATAGTACTTTTTGTTTTGAAATTGTGGCCTTTTTGCTTTGAGGTTGAAATGAAGGGCTGAGCAATGGAGCCTCTTCTTGGAAAGAAGATGCAGCATTCACAGATCAGGCACATATCAATGTCCGTCAGAGGTGGGAATGCTGGCTTACTCTCACAAAATGTATAGGACAGACAGCCTCATTTACTGATGGGTACGAGAAATGCCTCGTCTACTGACTGGCTCAACTGCCTGCCCCACACCTTTCTCCTGTGAGTGTTAAGTTGTTGGCTGGTTGGTTCAGTGAGTGTTAACCCAGAAACCTGACAGTTTGTGTGTGTGGTTTGAGTATGAAACAGCATTGGTCCCTAGGGGTTTAATGACATCTCTGTCTTACAGACAGCTTTGGTAACTCGCCATGCAGTTTTTCCAGATACTGTGGCAGGCATAGCCTATGTTCCTTCTGGGCCTCTACCTCCCACACTGGGACTTCATTTATCATGACTACATATCTATTTTTTTATGACAGGATACATTCTCAGATGAGGGGTTGTGTCCTTAGATGATGATTTGCATTGTGTTAGCACTGAAGACTGAGATAGTAGACATCATTACTGGCCTCTATACATGAACTGCTATCAGCATGTTTTAGTTTTAGTAAAATTCTTTTAAGTAGATATACACTCTCCAATAATAAATATAGTAAACACATAAGCTGGTAACAGCATGCTATTCTGAACATGCTAGTATGGACTAGACTGGCAGGGTAGTGGGTATATTCATATCAGCATTTCCACTACTTGAGAGGAATACATTGTATTAAGGCGTTAGAAAGGCTTTGTTGTCACTAGGTGATGAGAATTCCTCATTGCAGTTTATAATGTACTGGACCACTGTCAGGTGAAGAGCCTTTCCTTGGCTGATATGACAAATACTAAATATCTAAATACTTATTTAGAGGCCATGGATCAATACCCAGAATTTGGAGAGCCCACCTGATGTTGGGAAAGTGGACTGTAGTTGGAGTCATAGCAAGCTGTGGCAGTTATTCAATCTCTTCTTCTATTAGTTGCTTATCTAGCCCATGATGGTAAGGGTGTGTTTCATGCACAAACAGCATGTTTTCTTCCAGAACTATCCTGTCCAGATACCACCCATGTTGTATTATTTACTCCTATACAAATTCATTTAATTTTTATGCAAAGATAAATTTTTTGCCATGTGTCGTATGCATAGTGTACATGTCTTCTAGTTCAGGTGTCAACTTAAAACAATCCAGAGTTTCTGTAGGACTCTCAGTTAGGAAACTGCCTCAATCAGATTAGCTTATCAACATGTCTTTAAGGCATTTTCTTAGTTGCTAATTGATATAAGAGCCTAGCCCATTGTGGATGGTGCTCATCCCTAGACAGGTAGGCTAAGAAAGCTACTGAAATTGGCTCCATCTATTACATAGAGTTATCTCTGGCGCATCTATATCTAATGGGAACAGCAAAAGTCATAAAGTTAGCACAGCTTTATTCCATTTTTATCTTTCCATAAAAATTAAAGGTCCAGCAAAGCTGAGCTGTATGATGTAATCACCATCATGCTGTCCTTCACTTTTGGTCTTGATCTCCATTGTTGCATGCTTTTAATATTGTACAACTTGGAGATATTGGATTTATGGGAAATTTCTTATGAATCATTTATGCCTTCTCCCAGGAGAAGCTTCTCCAGGAAAGTCCTGAACATACTATCCCTCCCGCTTTTAGGGAGATATCTTTATCTGGCCTACTTGAAGGTATTCCTTATGCCCTGCAAGTTGTGAGTCAAATAAAGATGCCAGAGACGACCTTATGAGGCTCTGACTCAAAGATACTCTTGAAACATCTGCCCCTGCACTTACTCAAACCAAAGTAAACTTAAAAAGGTAAACGATATTCGGTGCATTGGAGAAGTTGGCAGTAGATAAAACCTCTTCTTTATACTGATGGACAAAGAATGGTGTGGATAAATGATAAAAGAATGACGTATTTAGACCCCCTCCCATTTCCTAGAAAAGTTAGCTTATACAGTGTCACCGTGGTACATGACCACAGAACAAAAGAATACCAAGATGTGACATATAAGTAAATTCTACAAATATATAAAATATAAACATTGTATTATGCCAGAAATGAATAATAACTGGAACAGCTTTGGCCTGTTTTTTCTTGGGCTCAATGACAATTAGCATTCTAACTGAACATGAAAATCTACCAGGTTGGCTTGGAGATTTTCTTTCTGTCTAGTGCCCTTGAAACCACAAGATTCTTTAAAGTTGGGTTGTGGGGTTGATGAGGGAAAATAATTGTAAACGATAATTCTGTTTTGTCATGATTTATCAATGATGACTGAACTTATGAACAAGAGAAAGTTAAAACGTGTCTAGGTTACAAAAATGACATGATCCATGTCTTGGGACAACATGCATCTATCCCTGCCTACGGAGTTCGGTATAAATAAAGAAGTACTCTGACTGCCAGTGAGTCAGGAGGCAAAGTTTCCCCCAATTCCAGTGCCTGGCTCACTCCTCCGTCGTTGAATCCTTATGTCCTTTGTGAGACCTGGCTATCGTTGGAGCTGGACCCCAGCAAGTCTTCTTGATGAGAGGTGAGGACACTAACCTACAGGTATAAGGGTAAATATTTAGAATGTACTTAGGAATTATGCTGGCTTACTGAAGTGGCAGTTGTAGGTCCACCCCCTCCCACCCACCCACTAAGATTAACGACTTCACTAGTCTGGGAAGTTGTCTAGGTTTCCAGGACCAGGCATGATCTCTTCCTTGTTGAGTGAGTCTTAGGTCTAATTAGAGAGCTGTTGGTGATCACTAAGGTATGATGCCCCTATTGCACCTTTAGAGTTAGTGTGCCATGCTGGTCATTGTTTTGGCTCATAGTCATCATAGCTGTGCAAGACTATTGGTTGCTTCCATCAGATCAGCTTATGAGCTAAGCTAATCTTAAACTGCTTCCATAGAAGACTGCATGTCCCCTTCTGGTACCATGAAAGCTTGGTACCAGAAGGAGGCTTTCAAGTCAGTTCTAGCTCAGGGGCTTCTGGGCCCTGTGTCTGATGCTGAGAGAGGGAGAAATAGTTTTTTCAGAAAAAAGTAGATCAATTGTTTATCCAATACCAAATGGTGATCCCCCCAGAACACACATACATGTAACATTATCTGTCTGTATAACATTATACAGATTGAACACATTATATTTATGTACATAGAAAAAATAGAAATCTAATATATAAATATATATTCCTAAGTACGTATATATGTACCTCTATATATGTATATCTATATATATACACATACATGATACATACATACACAACTTAAACATGTGTATAACAACAATGCAAAAAGAGGCCATGAATTTGAAAGAGAAAAAGGAGGGATCATTGGGAGGGAGGAAGGAAAGGATAGGGGGAGATGATGTAATTGTGTTCTGATCTCAAAGAAGAAAAGAAATTTAAAAAAATAGCTAGTTAAGCAATTTAGGAAGCAAAAGCCAGTAAGCAGCATTTTTCTGTGGGCTCTGCTTTAGTTCCTGCCTCAGTTTCTGCCTTGAGTCCCTGCTCTGACTTTGATCAGTGAAGGACTGTGACCTGGAAATGTGAAGTTAAATAACCCTTCCTCAAGTTGCTTTTGGTTGTGTTTATCACAGTAACAAAAAGTGAAGTGGGACCACATCCCAGCGGAGAAGCCAATGAAGCCTTCGGTTCAGGGATGCACTGTCTCTGACACTTCCAGATAGTAGTCCTCTGCTCTCCGTCTCTGCCTGGTGTGGAGCAGATACATCTTTCTAGTGTCTCCTTATTTCCTCTCATCCTGTGCTCCAGGAAAAAACTCTGGCTTGAGCATCTGAGGGCCAAAGAGAAGAGCAAAGCTGGAGGTTTGCCAGAGTCTATACTAGGCAATGCTGGATGACAAGGATTGAGTAAGTCTACGTGTACTCCTGGAAGGGAATTAAAGACACCGCTGACTCCTTTGCCACCATGGCATCTATGGCTGCTTCTTATTGTCCAACTAGTGGACATCCAACGTGTGCTTGGTACAGCTCATGCTCAGCTTCATTGCTGGCTACAACTTGGGCTCCTTAGTGCCTGGTCCCCCTGAAGGAACAGAAGGTATAAATGTGAGTCTTAGGGCTTGCTTGGGCTTGCAGGCAGTGTCCTTGTGATGGTTTGAATGAGTGTGTCCCGCCCCCACCACTTCAGCTCATATATTTGAGTGTTTGGTTCCCAGTTGGCAAACTGTTTAGGAAGGACAGGTTGCTGTGGCCCTGTTGGAGAAGGTCTATCATCATGCGTTGGCTTTGAGGTTTCAAAAGCCACATCCAGTCTCCTGGTAGATCAGATGTGAACTCTCAGCTTCTGCTCCAGCCTGGCTCTATGCCTGCCTGCTGCCATGCTTCCTACCATGGTGATCATGGACTAACCCTCTGAAACTGTAAGCAAGCCCTAATTAAATGCTTTCTTCTAGAAGCCGTCTTGGTCACAGCGTCTCTTCACAGCAATAGAACAGTAACTAAGAAAACACTGTCACTTCTGTCCCTGCCAGGGACTGAATCCTGCCCCTTTCGGGCACATATCTGCCCCAGCTACATTGTTCCCACTTTTGAGACACATAGGCTCTCCACGTTCATTTTTATTTAAAGTCTCAGAAACACAGGCATCATAGTTTGCCACTACTGTCAATTCATCCAAAATTACACACTGACATTGGTGTATAATAAAAACATATGTGGGGTTGGGGGCACATGTATGCATGTGTGTCTGTGTGTGTGCTGTGCAAAGCACAAGGGCTTCCAAGTCTACTGTAATGGTTTTGGGGTGCCCAGCCTTGTATTTACACCCCACTACAGACTATCTTGTCTGTGTCTCTTCCTTCAGTCCTCTGGGGGCTAGACTGTCTCCTTGGTGACTCTCAATCTGAAGGGCTGAGACCTAGTAAGGAAAATCACCTGGCCACCAACTACTACTGTATGAGTCAGGAGTACATGCTGCTGGCCAGGACAGAATCGGAAGGTGCTAGATGAGGTGCTGGCTTCATTTTGGTAGCCAAGACATGTGTCTTCAAGGGAAAACGATCTTAGGAAAGGTAGATCTCTTCTGTCATTAACTGTGGAATACATGATTTAAGGGGAAAGGGCTTGAGAATATTCAAAATACAGAATATTCAAAGTACACAATGAGCCCCATTGTGTACTTTAAAAAGCTCCACCTGAGAATGAGCCTCAGGGCCCTGCTTCCCTCCCCAAGGTGGTTCCAGTGTAAACCCATGACTTTGTTAGGGGAGAGTCCTGCTGATCTTTTCCAAAGATACCCCAATGCTTCCCTCAGCTTTTTATGGTGTACCATGAAGCAGCCAGCATGAGGAAGGGGAACAGCTCCAAGTTAAGTCTCTTCTGTTGGCTCAAAGTCATCTTGGTTAGGAGGAAAAAAAAGGGACTTTTATTGTCTGGAAACTGGAGTTAGTTGTGGTTCCAGTGAAAACATGTCTCACTTTGGATGTAGATCTGTGTACCTTCTTGGTTAACAGCATTTGTGCCTGGATGGGCAAGTAGTTTAGCAGTGACACTGATGAGATGCCTTGTGATTGTCACTAATCCTGCATACAGGGACCCCTATGCGTGTGCTAGAGTTTCTCTTTGGCTCAGAACAGTTTTCTCTGTCCAGGAAGTGTATTTGTCATCTGGGGAGGAAACTATTTCTGGGCATCATTGCTTCCATGTGGCAGCCACCTGGCAGTTTAACTAGTTAAACCATATCCCCAAATAGGAATTTTGAGGATAAGTAATCCTTATTTTATCATGAAAAGCAGTGATAGCCACTGTTACCAAAGGCTTGTCAAAGGTCTGGGTGGTTTTATAAAAATGTATACAGAGGCTCACACATTGCTATTTTTGAAAAAAAAATGTGTTCTTAAAGTGTGACATTCACAGCTCTTGATAGTCATTCAGGCCAGCCTCTTGAAAAGTACTGCATTAGACTTCGTTATCATTGTACCTTTGGTTTCCAGCAGATGGAGTTTTGCCTGGCCTGCTAGGGGAAATTATTTATTTTTGAAAAAGAGAAAAGAAACAAACCTTTGCAAGATAGTGATCTGAGCTGTTGTAAGAGCTGCATTTGGCAGCAAGACATGTTTTAAGAAAGCTATTTTTAGTCATTCTCTCTAAAGCATCGAAGGAAGCTTCTGAGGTCAAACTGTGTGTGTGTGCATATGCATGTGTGTGCGTGCATGTACGTGTTTTCCCTGCCACACAAAAAGGCAATACCATTCCTCACTATGTCTCCAGTTTTTAAATCATAGTTGCTCCTACCTAGATGGAGGATGTGGTTTAGGCCATTTCCAACAGCCAGGAAAGATACTCTCCAACTCCATGTAACCATCTCAGCAGACTCTCCCACTCACCTCGGGGAGGAACAGCCAACATTTTGATATTACAGATAGGAATTCCTCAATATGCTCCAAACTTCATATGGGAAATATATAAAACCTTTCCTTTGATGTTGCCTCACTTTTTTCCTTGAAGCTTACCCAAGTGATTTCTAGTGTTACAAAAAATCAGCACCAGATGTATGAAAAATAGGCAGTGTCTGACCTGTTAGAAATATATAAAGTCTAAGAGTTGTACATTAAAAAGGTACCATAAGAAGGAAGCAATGCAAAGACAGTGGTGGTAAAACCAAATGGTGTTCCTTATTTTCCTGACAGGAGACAAAGCCATGAGGATTCTGTTCCAGTGCCCTACAGGACCCCACTGGACACCTTGGGAGACTCATAGCCCTTATATGAGGCTCCTGAACCACGAATGCCCTGATGTGGAGCTCAATGGCAGGTGACAGAGGTATATAGAAGAATGATACCCAGGGCAGCCAGGGAAGACACTCTTCATTGCTGTCAGCCCTAGCACATGGTTGCACTCTATACCCTCCTGGGCTCCCAGCCTTGCACTGACAGCTAATACTGCTTTAGCCGCTGGGTGGCACAGTAGTGCATCTGTCCACATGAGTTACTTTGTTTGTTCTGCTGATCACTCAGATCATGGCATGGTCTTGAAGGATGCCCGTGTGTGTATTTTCAATAAGGACTTGTGACAACACTGCCTTAACAACCAAGTCATCACCCCAGAAAGAATGTTCCTGGCCAGTGCTGTAGAAAGGCCTGGGACCTAGGTGATAAGGTGTTCTCTGCTCACATAGTGTCTTCTTGGTTACCCTTCCCTGGACAGCAGAGCTGGACATGAGCAATGGCCTTCAGAAGCTCTCCACAAAGCTGCCTGGGAAGAGACCTGTGCGGCCATTACGCTGCAGTGTCCCCTTGAACCAGCCATCTTCATGTTTCTTGTGCACGAAGACAATATCACCTTCCTTCAACTCAATCTCTGCTTCACTCTGCGGTGGGTAGGAGACCACCACACGGTACCTGGGAGGACAGAAGACAAGCATGTGAGCCCAGGGAGAGGCTGTCCCTCTTATGCCCTGTAGCATACTATGTAGCATATATGCCACTCTGAGCTCCCTACTCCTTCTCTCCGATTAAGTTCTTTTTATTATTATTTAAATTTATTTATTTTTTTAATTTATTCACTGTACATGCAGATCATGACTCCCCTCCCTCATCTCATCCAGTCCTACCCTCCTTCTCTCCCTCCCTCTTCCTCTTCTCTGGTCCTCAGAAAGGGGGACCCTCCCCACCAACTGACCCCAAGCTATTAAATCTCATCAGGACTGCCTACATCCTCTTCCTCTGTACCTGGCAAGGTTGCCCTGACAGGGGGAAGTGATCGAGGAGCAGGCAGCAGAGTCCATGTCAGAGGCAGCCTCTGCACCTCTTACTAGGGGATCCACATGGAGATTGAGCTGCCTATCTGCTACATCTGAGCAGGGGACGTAGGTCCTCTCCATGCATGGTAGTCAAAGAGGGAACAGGATGAGAGCCTACCATGATGTTCTCTGGAAGATTCCACCCACCAGGGAATGGAAGCAGATAGTGAGACTCACAGCCAAACTTTGGGCAGAGTGCAGTGAGTCTTATGGAAGAGTAGGGGGATAGAAAGACCTGGAGGGGACAGGAACTCCATCAGAAGACTAACAGACCAAATAAATCTGGGCCCAGGGGGGCCTGCGGAGTCAGATGCACCAAGTAAGTTCTTACAGAGTAAGGATACTTTTAACATTTTGTAAAATTTTGATTTATTATTATTTAAAAAATTTCCAGGTGCTTTAATTTGTTATCTAATATCCCTTTGAACAGTTGGTCAGGGAGGTATTTGAGCATCTAAAACAATACAGACAACTGCCAGTGTAGTTGTATGGCATCAGCACCAAACCATGGAACTGTATTTCTAAAGACATAACATGGCTGTAAAACCAAGCTGTAAATGATAAGGAAGTTTCTTCCCTATTGGCGAGTCCTCATAGTGTTACAAGGTCGTGGGACACACAGGATGCTGCAGGGAGAGCTGTGGTCAGCAGTCTTACTCAGCTGTGGACCTGGCAGGCTACACTATCAATTGGCCAAGCAAAGCATGTCAACTGGCGCAGTAGTGGCAAGTCTACAGTGGAGTATTTCCTGCTTGGAGCTGAGGCCTGCGCCACAGAAGGGAATTCACATGTTACACTGTAAACCTGGCCAAAAGCCAGTGGCTGGAGAGGAAGCTACAGTTAAAATGACATGGCGTATTCATCAAATTGCATTCTAATTAATTATCATATTATGTTTATCCCCAGATTAATCTGTTGTCATCTTGGGTCAAAGAGACATTTCCCCCCAGTGGACAGTGGTAACTGGGACTCAGACTGGTCACAAGGATTAGAATAAATAAGCGTTGAATGCTTAGCTACAAGGAGATAGCTATATCTTCCCTCCAAGGCTCAGGGAATATCACTGAAGTGGCAGGGAGATTATAAGAGCTGGAGGTTGGGGCAGAGTGCTGAGGAACGCTGCCTCTGGGCGAGACACTGCTGTAGCCCCGCAAACATTTTAAAGACTGTCTTTATTCTTTGACCACTTCATACACAGAGTACATTTTAGGTCTTCTCTCCCCCAACATCCTGTCTTGTCCTCTCTCCCACAGACATTCTTTCTCTTCCCAAGTCCCCTCCGTGTCTTTTTTTGTGTATGACCCATTGAGAGTCAATAGAATTTGATGGTGGCACTCCTGAGCTTGTAGAAGCTTTAAGACCTGCACAAGACCTGTAAGATTGGGCCCATCAACACCCTGCCATGCAGGGGCGACTCACAGGGACCTGTCTGTCTCTAAGGATTTATAGGCAGTTAATGGTTGCTGGGAGAGGGAGAGATGTTTTCTTCGTGGTAGATTTTCTAGTAATGTGCCTTCAAGTAACCTCTTAGCCATGTGCTTATAAGCAACATAATGAAGTTTATTGAATCACAAAAAAAAAAAAATGTGAAAGTAGAAGAGGGACTAGCTGGGATGAGAAAGGGGATCAGTGAGAAAAGGAGAGGAGACAAAAATGTAATAGGGTAAGTATCAAAATATACATATATATGCAATGTCATAATGAAGCCCATTATTATATAGAGTTACTATAGACCATTCAAAATTGGTGTCCTTTTGGTTACAGGTCTAAGGCATAGTTGTCTTATTTTTCTAGATGGACCTCTACATATCCTCTCTATTTCTCACCTTCTGTCTTATCTGTGCTGGTCTCACAGCTAAAGGTCTGCTGTAGTGAACTCCTGGCGGCACCTGGTTAGCTATGGCCTCTGGGGAATGGGGGCTGCTCCAATGCTGGGACCTTGGCTTGTTGCTTTCTGGCTCTATGACTTTTGTGTCATAACCTGCCCATGGGCCAGGTTCTCCATCTAAGAGTCAGGGCCCCTCACCTGAACTACTACCTGTCAGGTGGAGGGGTTGGTGCTCCATTTGGTCTGGAAGGTGCTTTGAATGCTGCTTTAGTGGAATGGTCAGTTTTTAAATCGTAGGATGTACAGCCTCAGTTTGAACTGGTTGAAGTCACATCATTGGTGCTAATAAGGCCCAGTTCCCCCTCACTTCTTTTCTATGAGACCCAGGCAACCTACAACACCCAAGGCTTTAAGGTCCTGTTGTCAGATCAACACAACAGAAAGTGAAACAGTGCCTTCTCTGCTTCTGCTGGCCAAGTGCCTCAGAGCTGCTGCTGGCCACCGCAGCTAGGTGAAGAGCTAAGGGTGTTCTAAGTTCTGAAAGTCTTCCTAAATAGGAGGCCAGAGTTGGACCCCTGTACCATCACCTTTCTGAGAACCCAGTCTTGAGGTCTACACAGCCTGACAGACACGTGGCCATGGCTCCAACATTACTCCTCCACAAATCCCTGTAGAGCTTCTTCAAGCCCTCTTCCTCACAAGCTCTACCATGTCCTATGCAGATTTTAGCATCACACAGCTGAGTCCCCCAGCTGGCCCTAGCCTCCCTAACACTCCTTCCCTAAACAGCAGTCCTTTGTGAACTACTTTATTCCAGCAGCAGGGTTGAGCCCTTCTGACCTTCAAACAAGGGCAGGCCCCACTTCAGTCCAGACACCAGCCTACATGCCCTCTCAGGGGCTAACACACCTTTCTGCTTTCTTTGAGTGTTCACACTTCGGCTTCTCCTGAGGCCAAAGCCACCCTTCCCTGTTCCCTTGGGAATGCCTAGACACTTGGGTGTGAACTTGGCTCTATTCATGCCAGACTTTCCTGCTGTAAAGTGTCAGAGGTTATAATATTCAGAAGGTGGGAGTGGCTATACTCCTCTGGGACCAGCTGCCTTCTCAGATACCAACATTTGTCTGGTGTCTGTGCCTCAGTCCTTGACAGGACCCCCTAACCCCTACTCCAGCCTCTAGTATCAGGTAGCTTTGTATGGCATGTGTCTGACACATGAACCCTTTGCCCCTAGGGCAGGTGACAGTTGTTTGTAGAACATAGTTGAAGAGAGACTAGTCCCTGGTCACTCATTTTGTTGTGTCCTGTTTTTTTTTTTTTTAAACCAGAATATGCAGAGTCAGAGGCTCTGGACATTTAATCCCCTGAGCATTACTCAGCACAGCTACCTGATAGGAGGAGGGTGGTCTCCTTCAGCAGCCATCTGTGTGGCTGTGGGCCATAGGCTGGGGACAGTTCAAAGAAAATGAAGGGCAAAGGGATATTTTATCCTCACACCCACAACCTAGCTGGTGGACCAGGGCCATACTCAGCACAGTGGGGGGGGGGGGCAGCGGTGTTGGCCTCTTTATTCTACTATAAATGAGAATTCCTGGGAAAAAATAAGCTGTGTGTGCAAAGGATGACTGATTAAAACTTCAATGACTGTGTCTTTGGAATATCGTAGGCCCAGAGCCTAATTACAGTTTCTTTTGGGTTCTCTTTAGCCCATCTAAAGAGCCTTTTCTTGCCTACCTCTATGTCAGACTTGTCCCAACAAACAGATAAAAATCTTTAGAATTATTAACCTAACAGAACCCGGTTCCTCATTAACCAAAGGGCTAAAAGTCTATCTGGGAATGGCTAAGGCCTACAGCTGAGATCTCTCTGCCTGGCAGCAAATGGCTCCTCTGATGTTTTTGCCAATGTATTTTTTAAACTGCCTTGATTTATGACTCTCTTTTTTCTGTTATAAAAACTTCATGAAGCTGCTTCCACACTGGAACATGGTATTTTGGGAGACTTAAATCTGTGTTCCCAGGCCATGGCCACTCAATTTTGGCTCCATAATGAACCATGTCGTATTCCCTTTGAGGTAGGAGTTGTGCTTTTTTGTCAGTTCTACCGCTGTCTGGGCTGAGGACATCGGGGAATGTGATCTGAAGACTGAGGAGTCCCAGCATAGGCCCAGGCTCTCAGAAGTTTTTATATCCTCAGAGGGATTTCTTTCAGAAGGAGTCCTGTATGTGAATGTCTACGAAGGCTAGTCTTAGAGCCTGATCTTTTTAAGTCCAAAACTTGGAGGGTCTCTGCACATGCAGGAAGAGCTGGTTCAAACTCAGAAGCTGCAAAATGAGCACCTTACACAGGCCCATGGCTGGGAATCCCTACCTGAGCTGGAGTTTTCCTAGCCTCTGGAGCTGGATCACATATCTTTAGTTCCTAACCACTTGGGCTTCCCAGATACCACAGGGCAGCCAGCCCATGGCCATTCTCTCTCTATTACTGTGGAGACATTGATCCATTTATGGGCTGTGACTACTAGGATAGTTGGTTTTAATATCATTTTTGCACAATTTAAAATCACCTGAGTAGGAAGCCTCAATTGAAGAATTGTCCTGATTGCCTTGATTGACATGGGAAGGCCTGCCCACCCTGACTGTGGCCAGCACTTTGAGGCAGCAGCCCAGATAAGAAGGGTGTCTGGAAGGAAGAACATCTCATCCCTTGTTTGCTTGGCCCTCCCCTTGCTGCTGAACTGCTTTGTTGCTGCTGACTTCTTTGGTGCCTGCAGAACCACTGTCTCCAAACTTACATCCTTGACTAGGAACCAGGGCTTCTCTGGGAACTTTCTGGACTTGCAACACAAGGTTGGGACTAGTAAGGTACCTACTTTGGGGACTGAGTGCTCTGCCTGTTGAGGCGCCCAACCTCAAGGACCAAGTAACTTAGGTTCTTAGTATCTCAGTTCACATAACACATTCTGATTCACATATGTGTATATATACATGAATATATGAGCTGACACTCTGCTCAGAAAATCCTCTCGGTGAAACCTCTCATCCAGCTGCTAGCCAGCTATGGGGACCATAGCAAGTTTCTTAGGCTTTTACAGAACATCAGTGATTTCATCAAGAAATGGGGATGCTGGATTAATAAGATTTAAGGGAGTTCAATGGAGAATACACCTGGCTATTTTGGTGTCAGTGCAGGAATTCATGCCAACTGGGAAAGCTTTAGTACCAGCCTTCACCGAGCCCACAGTGGATGTTGGCCGCCATTAGTGTGACTGCACAAATCAATACAGGGGACACCTTAACTGGTCATTAGAAGTCAGTAACTGGTTCATGGCATCCCTCTGGGGCCCTGTGGAGACTGGCTTCCATGCATCTAGATTTAACAGCAAAGATGCAGTTCAAGAGCATCTAGAACCACAGTTTGTGGCTGTGTGGCAACAGAGCTAGGTTACTGCATTTTTTATATGGTTAAGAATAATACCAAAGATTTTTCATTAGAAAGCTGCAAGAAATATGAATTTTGATCACTGCACAGAGCTTTCTGGAACACCAACCCACCGTGTGCATCTGGCTTGTAGCAGCCTTCCTACTGCACAGGAATAGACACCCTGGAGTCCACAGCATCAGCAGTATTTACTGTCTGGCCTTAGACAAGAAGCCTGTGGGACCCGGGCTCTAAACAGACCCCTGTCTACCCACTGCCTGGTACCTGGAGGTGTTATCTCTGAGGTTAGCACATAGAACAGCTGCTGTGTTCTCAGGCTCAAGTAACAAATGATTAAGCAGTGGAAGGACTAACAGAAATGCTTTGTTGCTCTCTCAGGATATGGTTATGTTTTATTTTTTTAAGCAGTGTTCTAACTAGTAGGCAAGGTGGCGCCTAGTCAGGGTGCTTTGGGCCACACTGTGACCAAGGTGCTTTGCTCTGCGGGGAACTGCTCCTAAGGGGCTCACATTCCCAATAGGGCCTTCCAGTCTCTAAGTTGAAAACTCAAGCACACAGCTCCACTCATAGACACTCTACTACCTGGAAAACTTGGACAGTCTTTTGCCCCTCAGAGCCTGTGACCTTAGCAGGCCCCATCCCTGTGTCTCAGTGTCCAAATCTGTAAAGCCTGATGTTGAATTTGTATAAAAAAGGATGAGTACTGGCAGTTCTGGATGGTCTGACTAATAGCCTTGAAGACAACTTTCAGCAACATTTCATGACACTAGTATATTACAGTGTTCTGAGGTTCAAAGAACTGCTTTTCTGGGTAAGTGAATGAGGCCAAAGTCCACAGGGGACTCTGGAAGGGTTGTTCACTTACAGATCTTTAAAGGTTGAGAACCCTGTTCTCTGAGTGGTTGACATTTCCTCGGGGATCACTTCAGGAAGCAGGCAGACTAGGGATAAGAAATGTACCCCAGGGCCTGAGTAAAGTGGGACATCTGGTAGACTTGATCCCAGGGAAACTCCATTTTGCCTAGTCCCCAAAAAGGCTCCAGAACTTAGGTGTTAGCCCTGAAATGAGCACATGGAAGTACAAGCCCTCACCTCCTTACCTCTCTCTGGGCAGTGGCTTAGGTTCAGGGCGGATGGAAGCCATGGACAAAGTTGCTTGCCGAGAAGGGGACAAAGAGAAATTCAGATCCAAGGAGCCTGCTTTTCTGTGCAGTGGTTCCAACCCAATGGCTCCCTGCATCTCACTCTCTATGGGGCAGGAACCTGCCCTGCCATGGACAGTTAATGGGGACACTTCAGGGCCCATGGCCCCCTGCAGTGAAGTATCCATGGTTGAGTGGGGGTCATGGGTTGGAGATATAGAGGGGGGGGAGCGTGACTTCTTCTTGGTAGATGCCCCAGCCAGCAGCTTCAGCAGCCCACTCTTCTTCTCCTTCTGCAGAAAAATATACAGTCAAACCAGATGTGTCAGTGTGTTTAGCAGGACCAGCTTATGCAGGCCTTTAAAGATAGTCCTGTAAATCTGCTCAGAGGAAGATGGCAAAGACAAGCCTGAAGGCCTTTTTTTCTTTATTGAAACCTGGGAGGAGTGTCTCACAAGGCCAGCTCCCGTGGAAAGTCTGCAGGCGAGGGATCCCACAAAACAGGACTTCCCATGACAGGACCCGCAGGTGACTTCATAAGCTGTGTCAGAGGAGCCCAGTCTGGGTGAGTGTTGTGTTCTGCAGGGGGAGCTGTTCCTCAGGGCGTCCTCATGCATGTGGGCCACAGTGTGACCTGGCTCTCCTGACAGGGGATCTGGGGAGTCTTGTCCTACTATTATTTTTAAAGAGTTAAAGCTTTAGGACTTGTAGCCCAGCTGAGAGGGTAGCTATTCTACATAGGACACCCAGACATGCAGTATCACTTCCAAGGGTGAGCTACAGCATGTGTCTTTGGGACAATATGTTTAGAACCCTCGAGTGTTTCAACTTTTCTCCTCACAAACAGCAGTGGAGCATGTATGTGTGTTCATGTATGTATGTCAAATATTCTTGGGAGTTTGTGGGCCAGGCAGAAACACTTGTCCCTACCAATGTCCATGTTTTTACTTACATTTATTTAATGTATATATATGCATATATATATACATATATAGTGTGTGTATATACATACATACAGTGTGTATATAGTATGTATATGTAGTGTGTGTAACTATATAGTGTATATGTGTATATATGCATATGTATACTGTATAATTTGTATATGTATGTCGTGTGTATGCAATGTATACATAGTGCGTAAATGTGTGTATATATAGTGCATGTATGAAGTATGTATATAAAGTATGTGTATATATGTAGTGTGTATGTATATGTGTATATGTAGCATGCATAATGTGTATATAGTGTGTATATATAATCTGTATAGCATGTATATGTGTGTAGCGAATAGTGTATGTATATATAAAATGTACATATATGCAATGTATATGTGTATTCATATACTGTATATACTGTTTATAATGTATAATTTTAAGTCTCAAGGCGCCATGTCACAGGTGTATATTTTGGTCGTAACTGAGGCATGATTATTTGCAGGTTTCTGGCTTTGCTGATGTGCTGTATCTTTGGGGTGCTTTGTTGTCAGGGTGGCTACCTGGGCAGTGATTAATCTTGCCCTTCAGCAGCCGGAGGGCCAAGAAACTACACCCAGGGGGCCCTTGAGCAACCCTCTGAGGTCTGCACAGTCATGGTAGGCGATTTGAGAAGCTACAGAATATTGCAAACAAGAGCTGGAAAGAAGCTGTGTCTCCAGAGACTGATAACAACTTCAAGTTATGGAGACACTGTAATGTAGCAGGCCCAAAGGCTAGCATAAGTGATAATTACCTTGTCTTGCGCTAGCAGAAACATCCATAACAGCTATTCCTTGCCTACCTTGGTATCAGAACTAACATCCTGTGACTAAAGGACACAAACTCTCAGAATCTATTAACTTCACAGACAACTAGTGTCCACAAACCCAAAGGCTAACAACGTCATGAGATAGCATCTTAGGCCTATAGAAAAGCTTTTCCCGTGTGCTGTAGTCACCTCTTTCACATACTAAAGTATTTTAAACATTGATTTACGACTTGCTTTGCTCTATAGGATTATAAAACTTCATGAAATTGCTTCTACACTGGAGCATGGACTTTAGAGTAGCCTCAATATGTGTTCCTGGGCATAGTCACTCAAAATGGCCCCAGAATAAACTCTCATTCTCTTTAAGTTGAGAGCTGTTTTTTAATTTCTGTTTGGATACAGTCATGGAAGTCTCAGGATCCCCCTACTTAGAGGACAGGGACATCACACAAAGGCAACCTCCAACCAGTTGCTACTCTATAATACACTCTTCCTACATGGCCCAGGACTCCCTGAGCTGGCTTTTTCTTCCTTTCTTCCTACCCATGTCAGTGCCATAGTAGGGCTGGGGCCCTTAATGCGTGACTGCTTCTGTAGCCACAGGGCCTAGCTTCCTCCAAGAACTTTGCCTAAATTTCGCGTGCATTGTGGGAACGGTGTGAAAAATGAATCTTTAAGTCATTGGTTATATGGATGCTTAGTTGGAGCATTCGCCATGCTGGCTGATGAGCTAAGGAGTAGTGTTGCTAAGTTTGTTATACACCATCCTGGTGTAGAGGGCAGTGTCCTCAAGAACAATCACTGAAAAGTGCAATGAAGATGAAGGGTAGAGGGAATGTAGCAATTGAGATAGCTAGCCCCGGCCACGGAAGGACTCGGAGTCTGAGGAGGGGGTGGGCTCCCCAAAAGGAGAACAGAGCTTCCTAATACGGTACTTTTGCCCGGAGAGGACAGGGGGCAAAGTCTGAGTCAGTGTGAGTGGTCCAGTTATGCTGCTTAGTGCCCTAGCACATCAGCACACAGCCTCCAACATTCCTACAACAGACAGACAGCAGGCCCATGATATGGGGAAGGAAGCAGGGACCATCCAGATGTCTAGCCTAAGTCTGTCACTTACTCTGAAGGTGTGCCCCTCCTTTATTCCCAGTGAGGCAAGAGAAAGTCAGTATTCAGCAAAATCCCCACTGTTTATCCTCCTCTCCTGCTCTCAGCCATCTTTGTTTCTTCTCCCATTGGGTTACCATTCATCCATTCCTTTTCCAACTATCCCTTGGAATACATGCTTTGGAAGTATGGGGCTATTTAATTTTGTTCACCACAGCATCTTGGGGCTAATACAGTGCCCAGAGCATACATAGCAGGCACTCACGACTTGTGTACATGATGAACTCAGTTCAGCATTAGCGTTCTTAGAATGCCGGAACAGAGAACACACAAGGCACTCTGGCCTGAGCGCCTTGGTGTAATGTGCAGTGACAGCAACCGGTCCCTCCTGCCTCACCCCACACCACTGTGATTATTGGTGATAAGGTCCAGCTTTAATGGTATATGTTGGAAAGGGACAGCGTGGCCAAATGTGTGGGTAACTCCTCAGTTAAATGTGACTCACAATTTTCCAAATTTAACTGAACAAACGCTGGTATCCTGAATGCAGAAATTTCTCTAAAATGTTTGCCTTCTGGAGTGAAATTCTGCCAGTGCCTGCAGCCTGTAGTAATCCCTTCTCTGTGGAATCCCTCTGAATAGCAGCCATCACGCCTGTGCAATTCATGGAATATGGTGGCAGATGTTCTAAGCACTTCCCTGGGAGCCATCACATATGACACAGATAAGAACTAACTAAGAGACACTTTGCTGTATGTGGTGAGAACAGATTGATGACTCAGGACGAAAAGTATCATATGGGAGATGACATTTCACAGGAGTGGTCTGGACTAAGGTTTATGTTTCAAAAGGGTAGACTGCAGTTTTTCTTCTGGACAGTGAGTAAATGAGCCTGGCAAGATGAGAATTAGATGTCTCCATCACAGTCATTCCTGATTCTTGGGATCCACCTGATCCCTTCTAGAATTATATTACTTATCCCAGTGGTCTGTCTGTGTGGTCAAAGCCACTTAGAGGAGACCAAACAGTCCAGCTGGGCAAAGGGCTGGAGGGGAATGAACTGGGCCAGGCTGGGGTCTCCCTCTGGAGGTATAGTCAGAAGATCATACTGTCAAGATGTACACATGAGAAAAAAATCACCCCCTCTAGAGCAGTGGATCTCAACCTGTGGGCCACGACCCCTCTGAGGGTCTTAATGACCCTTTTACAAGAGCAGCCTGTACATCAGATATTTATATTATGATTCATAACAGTAGCAGAATTACAGTTATGAAGTAGCAATGAAAATTATGGTTGGAGTCACAACATGAGGAACTGTACTAAAGGGTTGCAGCATTAAGAAGGTTGGGAACTACTGAGCTAAAGCCTTGGGAGGGAGAGAAACGGGAGCTCCTGAGAAAACACTGCATACATGCTTACCCTTGCACATGCACACCCTCTTAAGCCATTGGCACCTAGACTGGAGAGACGGGTCAGCAGGCCTCTGTTCAGTCCCCACACCCATAGGGCGCCTCCACCACGCAGAACCTCAGTTCCAGAGGATCTGACATACACCAGACATAAAAATAACAAATTAAAATGATAAAAGAATCACTTAGATCTCCAGCATTAAGAAGAGACTGGGGTGGGGGCTGGGGATATGGTGCAGGTACAGTTGGCTGATGTGTAAGCCCCCAGGCTTACCCCAAGCAATTCAGAAAAAGAGTTTCGATATTTATTCGTACTGTACTGTAAGATATACAAATGGTAAAATATTATTTTAGAATATGATTAAGATTGAAGCCTTTGTTTTATGATGTAACTATATAAAATGCAGTGAAAGGACAAAGACATTTAAAACTTAAAGACTCATTGCTAAAGGGTCAATCAAATTATAGAAAATTGTTACGTAAGATAGTATCTGATGTGTAAATACTAGTATTAAACTTTTCAGGAACACTATGCATTTCACTAAAATTCATTCATTTAGCTCCTTTCTTTAGAAGACACCACATGTCCATGCCCTTGGAGGCCAGAAGGTGGTGTCACTTTTGTAACTATGTTAACTACTGAGCTATTATTAGCCCACGCTAACGGAGGTGACAGGACACCATCCCCCTCAAATATATGTGCTATATGAGTTCTTTTGTAGTAGTTCTTTAGCTTGCATCATCTTAGCACATACCAAGCACTTGGGCGGCTGAGTGTAGCAGGAGGCAGACAGCTACAAAACACTTCTGAATGGCCTGTAGACTGAGATGGCATCTGGACATTTCCTTACCCCCTTTTGCTTTTTTCACATTCTGTGCGCTGTGTCAGTCAAGCTAATGAGTGGGGTTTGGCCCGAGTCAATCAGGGCTCTTCCCTGCCACACAGGCAGGTTCTCCAGGTAGCTCAGACTCAGTCTGCAGAGTCGCAAACCATAGGTACAGGCTCATGATCATACAGTCTCTAATAATGGTGATGA